TACATAATTTTTCTTGCATCTTTTTTATTTTTTTTACTAGAAGAGCAAAATCTTCATTTGATAAAGTCACATTATCTTCATGACGTTTAACTTTTATATCTGACCAATAATCAAAATTTGCTTCAATATCATCAGTTGAATCTTCCAAAATATGAAATAATTCCACATCTTCAACAATATAGATTACATCAAGTTCTTCTGATCTTCGTTTTTTACCAGCATCTCTTCCTCTATATGGCTCTACAATTAATAAATAATGTGATTGACATAATTGATCATTAATTTGAAGGTAATTATAAGTTTCATGTGTTTTATATATTATAGAATTATTTTTGGCATTTTCAGTGAATTTTCTAAATGGACCCTGGGATCCACAACCTTCAATAACACATGGACCAGGATTTTTAGGAGACATTTTAAATTATTTAAAATATTATGTTTATGATTGTATTTATATTATTATTTTATTATTTTTTTTTTTCAATGTTAAATTTTACAAATTTATTGTCTTTTTATAAACAATTTTTTGTTATATATGCTGAAGAAAATTCATTCTTGTTAGAAAAACAAAGAAAGACTGTCACTTTGTTAATTACAAAGAAAACCTTGTTAAAAAACAAACAGTTCTTTATTAAAAAGAATATTTACTTTGTTAAAAAAATGCAAATATGTAACAATTTTTAAACCAATAGAAATTAATTTTGTGTGTGACTTTTGGAAAGGGGGTAATCGCAAATATCACAAAATTTAGCCAATGAAATCAAATGTCCATTATGCTGTATTAACAATAATCCTTTATATATAAATAATATTTTCAATGAGACCCACCCAGAATTAAGAGATTTATATGAAAATTTACAAGAACTCCAAAATAATTTTATGGGAGCTTCTTATGAAGATATTGAATCAGAAAATATTATTGAGACTGCAGTAGAAGATTTTCATGATGACTTTGATGATGAAATAAATAATGAAGTTTTTTCAAATGTAGAAATTGAGAAATTTAAAAAAATTTACAATAATGAACCAATTGAAGAATCAGAAATTAATGAATTAAAAGCTGAAAATGAAAAATTAAAAGAAAAAAAAGAGCAAGCAAAAAATTATATTATAAATATATTTAAGAAAAGTTGTTGTAATAAAAATTGTTTAGAAGAAATTGATCAAGAAGTTGCTATTTTATGGTTTCAAAACTATATTAATTTAACTAAAGATCAACAGAATATGTTTCTTTTAAGAATTATTTCAACATCAACTAGTGAATATTTGACAATGGCATATGTATTTGATGGTGTAGCAATATGCAGTAGTGCTTTTTTTAAATTATATGATTTATCAAAAAATAGATTAATTGGTTTAAAAAATCATTATAAAGATAATGATATTGTACCAAAAGTGCATTTAAGCAAAGGAAAAAAGGTTTCTCATAATAAATTCTCTTTTGAGACAATATTAAAAGTGCTTACTTTTTTAAAAAATTATGCAAATTTGAATGGTTTACCATCACCAGGTAAAATTAAAATGTGTATTATTTATTTAATATTATTAATAACTTATTTTTTTATTCTAGGTTGCCATTTTAAAAGAGATACAAAGGCAATTATTTATTTACCTACAAAAGACAGCTACACAGGAATGCATGAGGAATTTTTATGTTGTATTGAACCTGAGACAGAAGATCATATTGGCTATTCAACCTTTGTAAAAATTTGGAAGAGTTATCTTCCTGAATTTCAATTCCTATCGCCACAAACTGATCGTTGCACCTTATGTAAAGAAATGAGGTTTAATGTAAATTTTTGGTCTTTAGCTGAAAAAGAAAAAAGAGTTAATAATTGGAATGAACATATTAAGTGGGCAAATAAAGAAAGAGATAATTATAGGTATTGATTCAAACTTATAAAATATTTGTTTATTATATCATCAATTTTTATTGTTATAAAAAAATTAGGAGTTGCATACAAATTGCCAAAGAAAGTTTGAAAAATAATGAATTGACATCCATAGAAGAGGAAATTTCTCCATGTTCATCAAATATCAAGGTTCATATTTCATGGGATTTTGCAGAACAAATACACCTTCCATGTTCAACTCAGCAAGTGGTAACTTGATTTTTCCATTTTTAAAAAATTATTTAATTTAACTAACTTTCCATAAAATCAATTAGGGGACTTCATTTTTTAAATCATTGCATAATGTGCAATTATTTGGTATATGTAATGATGCTATACCAAGACAAGTAAATATTTTTATTAAATTAATATTTTTTTAATATATAGTTAACATGCTAATATTTTTGTTAAAATTTAGATAAATTATTTAATTCCAGAAAAATATTCAGTGGGGAAAGGTTCTGATGCTGTAATTTCCATGGTACATAATTACTTTCAAAAATATGGGTTAGGCGAAAAAAATATTATCATTCATGCTGATAACTGTTCTGGCCAAAATAAAAATAATACTATGATATGGTATTTAGCCTGGAGAGTGATGAATGGATTACATAAAAGGATAATTTATTCTTTCATGGTACCTGGACATACCAAATTTTCACCAGATGGTTTTTTTGGTTTAATCAAATTAAAATTGAGAAGATCAGAAGTTGATGATTTTGATGATTTAGTTGAAGTTGTCAATAATTCAACTACAGGTATGCATAATTTGGCACAATCTGTTTATGAAAATGATGAAATAAAAGTAGATTTTTACTAATGGAATGTTTTTTTATCTAAGTATTTTAAAACTCTCCCTGGAATTTCTAAATATTATCATTTTATATTTGAAAGTGAACATCCAGGTTGTATAAAATATAAAAGACATCATGATGATGATTTTGGAACTTATTATTGTCTTTTAAAAAACCACAATTTAGATATTAATTCAATTAATTTAAATGAAGAATTGAAGATTAAAGAATCAACAGGACTAAATGCTTCTAGACAATGGTATTTGTATGATCAGATATGAGATCTAGTGCAAAATCCTGATAAAAGAAATAATATTTATCCAGAACCTTCTGTACCTAGCCTTAATTTTATTGTTTATTAATTTTATTAGTTTATTAGTTTATTAATTGTATATATTATTATTATTATTTTTTTAAAATTTTTGGGGTCAAGATCATCGCATATTTTTCTATTTTAAAAATTCTCAGGTCATAATTTCCTTTTATGGATAATTGATAACAAAAAACTTTAAACCCCTTTTTCTCAAAATGACAAAAAAAATTTTGACTCATTTTCACTTGAGACTCCCCATATATTAAAAAAAATTTTTTAGTGCTTAATTTAAAGATTATATTGAAAAATTTATGTCTTAAGTAAACTATAAATTGGTTCAACTTACCAACTCTACTTCTCTTAACAAAAATCCTAGGTATAGATGATGAAAAACGTATAATTGTTTGAAATTTGCTAACATTCATCCGGAAAATATAAAAAAATTTTACACGTGTCAATTGTAAGTTTAATAATAAAAAAGTGTAAAACTTACGTTGGCACTGTAAGATTTACACAATATTACATCGGCATCGTAAGATTTATGCAAGTTTATGCTAAATTAATTTCCTGATGTTATAATATTTAAACTTTAATCTCAAAAAAACCTCTCAAAATTGCATAATATTTAAGTATTTATAATTCTATTAATATGTAACTCAGAATAATATTAATAATTAATAAAAAATTTTTCTTTCAAAAATAAAATTTACCCCGTGGCGCAGTAAGGAAAATTAAAAATTGGAAGAAAATAAAAAAAAAAATAAGGAAGAATCTGGCCCGAAGGCCACCGAAATCGAAATTACTACAGAACCAAACCAAACAATTAACATTAACAAAAGGAAGAAAGGAAAAAACACAAACTATAACAACATGTTACAAAAGTCCATTCACAATAATAAATCAAAAAATAAAAGACTCAAACATTTCAATGAAAAGGAAACTCACGAAGAAAAAATAAATTCAAGCGAAGATGAAACAAGAATGAATCTTACAACCCACAAAGGGAGGACAGGAGAAGACCCATTCTGGGGTACATCCAACCCTAACTCAAAAAACCAATTATCCAACATTTCCAAAAACTCTAACAATCAATTAATATCCAAGATCTATCAAGATAATCAAGAAAATCAAACAGATACAAACAAAAATTCTGAAGATACTAACATAGATAATACAATATCATCAGAAATTACTGATGATTTAATGTCAGATAATGAAACAATTGAAGACAATACCTCTAGCATGGACACAAATCAAGAAAAACAGATCAAAATTTAGTAATAATTCAACTGGATCTTTTCAACAAATTAATTGGAAATGGAGAAGGTTTTATTGAACTAATAAGAATAGGTAGGAAAAATATAAAAGTAGAATCTACAGTAACAAAAGGTCAGATCCCCCCTGCTACACTATACATGTTAGAATGTAATGATACATATTTTTTCAAATCATTCACAAATTACAAAAATGGAATTAAACCTGAACACCAAAAAGAATTTGAAAAAAATCTTTTTCAACTCAACAAATGTCTACAAAAATACTCATGAACGAACCAAACTAACTAAGAAAGAAAAAGATAATGTTTTTAAAATGATCAAAATCAAATTAGGTTGGGCTTATTTCAATCAAATTGATGGAAAAACATCAACCATTCAGATATCATCAGAAAACTACAATATATTGCTGGCTTTGTAGGTAAAAAACAAAATTTTGAATACAACAAAATAAATCTTGCCCTAAGAGAAATCCTGAAAGAAGAATTACCAGATCTACCATCACATCCAAACTTAATAGATAAATCAATTAAAGTCAAAATTCCATACGAACTACCACTAATATACCACCATTTAGCAAACCAAACAAAAAGAGCTTTAAGCAACTATTTCAACATCAAACCAACAAACTTCCTGATTCATACATAAAGGTATTACCAATACTGCCAAATGATCCTGGAGAATTATCAGTAGAATGGAAAAAGATTTTCCCAATCAAAAAATATTCCATGTAAAGGAATTAAGGAATGTAAGAGAAAAATTAAGGGTAGAATATTTTTTCTCAGGCAAATTACCAGACACATATTTTAATTTTCCAAAACCAAGAGAACTTCTACCATTTTCTCCAAAAGGTCTACCAAATTACTTAGCACAATACTTACCTTTCAACTCAAATAGAACAGAAAAAACTCTTCGTGAGATAGTGCAAGAACTAAGGGAATATTATATATTCAAAAAATTACCAAACAATTATTTTACTCCTAAACCAAGACTACCTAACTCACCAGATAACACAATTTTCAATTATATATTCCCAATCACTGAACAAAATACTGCCAAAGAATTCATTAAAGAAGCAAGAAGAAAATATGAGATCATATTCCCTATTAATAAAAAATGGATAAATGTTCCAAAAACAAACACTAAAAATAAACCTTTTCTTCCTAAAAACATCAATGAACTGGATGCACAATTCATTGTAGATGAAGAAATAATTCTGCCTATTACAAACAAAACTAATATAAGAAATATAGTAATAAAACTAGGTAAAAAATATTTCTTCGAAAGAATTCCTGATGAGTGGATATCAATAGAAAAAACAAATGATAATATTGATACACCTGCTTTAGAAATATCAAACATAGAAAGAAAACAACTACCTGATCTAACAACAACAACACAAGAACTTGACAAATACAATATAAAAATTACAATACCCATCATAGATGACAAAAAAATCCACCAAACAACTCAAACCCTTAAAAAACTTTACATTTTCAAATATCTCCCAGATGCATTTATTAATCTTCCACCAATCCCAAATCCAGGTTGGGACTCAATTATATTTTAATGAGCACTCAACAAAACCTGCAACAACCACCCCCAAACAAAAACCACCAAATTTATAAACAAACCAAATATAAACAACCAACATCATTACATGCACCAACTGCAATCTACAATAACCAACCAAATATATACCAAGAAGATATAAACAAAATCAATATCACAACAAACAATGTCAATGGCCTAAAAGATCAATTAAAGATACTTGTGATTATTAATGAAATACAAGAAAAAAATATAAATATATCTAAATGAAAATGAAATATACCAAATAAAACACACACTAAAAAATTACAACCTTATTAGTTTCTGGACACCCTCAGATGGCAGGAAAGGAGGCACTGGCATTATAGTAAATGGAAATGTATCTAAACACACCATCAAAACAAAATCAATAGATAACTATGTCACAAGCATTGACGTTTTTTACAAACAAAATAAATTAAATATAATGCAAATATACATACCAACACTTGAAAAACAAACTGCAAGAAAGGAATTAATAACAAAAATAATCAAAACACTCAATGAAAACAAAACAAAAAAAAGAAACACAATTGTGATGGGTGACTTTAATGCCATCATTAACCCAAACATAGATAAAACACCACCATCAAAAAAAAATAACAACAAGTCAAACCTCATTGAATTCCTAATCGACAACAATTACATAGACACCCAAAAATATGCATTTGACAAACACACTGAACACACATGGCAAAGAAATGCTAGCAGCAGTAGAATTGACTTTATTTGGGTAGATAACAATATATTTGATAAAATAACAAAAATTAATAAACCTTATATTCCCAACTACAAAACAGATCATAAATGCCTAAGCATAGATTTAAACATAAAATTAAAAATTGGAAGACAACATCAAACATAGAAAGATATGTTTACAATTGGGAAAATACCAAACAAATTAACAATTATAAAAAGAAAACCAACAAACTTGCTGCAAAAATCAATGAAAATAAATCCATACTAAACAATATAGAATCTCTGTGGTCCCTGATAAAATACAACTTGATCAAAGCAAGTGACAAAAAAATTACAAAAACAAAAATAACAAATTATAAAAACACTAATAACCAAATCAAAAATAAAACATTCAAAAACATCAAAAATCTTAAAAAACTTCTCACAATCCAAGATATAGATGCACTTAAAATTAATTTCAACAAATATAATGAATCATTCCCCCAACAAAATGAAATTTTAAAAAACAAAATAATAAATACAAATAACAACAAAGAAATTAAAAACCTTATTAAGAATCACATTACAAACCTACAAACCATAATCAAAGAGGAATTGAATAAAGAAAGAATGACACAAATTAAAAAATCTATTGAAGCAAGAAATGAAGATTTTTTCACTAACCAAAAAAAATTCTACAACAATATCCTTAACAAAAACAAAAACAATATTAAAATTGACAGAATAATTGAAAACGACATGATTATTACCAACCCAAATATGATCAAAGAAAAAATAGAAAATCACTTCTACAACTATTTTAAACATAATGAATTACCAGATATTACAGAAGACAATGAATTCTGGAAAATCCTTCAACCAAAAAATACACACAAAGAAATACTTCTAAATATTCTAGACAAACCCAAAGAAGAAGAATGGATCCCCATCATTAAACACTTGCCCTCAAAAAAAGCTCTCGGACCTTCTAACATCTCATATGAACATATAAAACATGCTCATTACAACATGCAGAAATTAATTATACACTTAATATCATTGTGCTATAAAAGCAACAATATTCCAGAAGAATGGAAAACATCACATATCTACCCAATCCCAAAAAGAGAAGATTGGGGATACAATATTAATATTATAAGACCAATTGCTATCATTGAACCAGTCAAAAAACTCATGACAAAAATCTTAACAATAAGAATGGAAAAATTAATCAGAGAACACAATATTTTAAAAGGCTATAACTTTGCTGCTCAAAAACACTCATCACCACAAATCCCAATACAAATAATAAATAACACTATTGAACATTGTTGGGATACCAAATCAGAAACATGGATAATGTTCCAAGACATGTCAAGGGCATTTGATAATGTAAACATTGAAAGACTGATCATTACTCTCAAAAGAATAGACCTCCCAGAAAATTTCATAAATTTGATAAAAAATATTCATACTGGAAGGAAAGCAAAAATCATTACTCCATTTGGCTTAACTAACCCTATATCAATTGAATCAGGAATTGAACAAGGAGAAACATATTCACCTTTATTGTGGAAATTATATTATGATCCTATATTACAATACATACAAGAAAATACACACAATAGCTTACTAACAATCCATAGCAAGTCACCATCAGAGACTTTACATCATAAATCACAAACAACAATCACTATCCCCCCACTTGCATTTGTTGATGATGTATCATGGATTGCTGATTCCAGAAGTGGCATAAAAAATATATTGGAAATTACTCAACGGTATAATATACTAAACAACATCCAAGTCAATTTAAAAAAATCAGATTTATTAATTCTAAATTCAACACATGATGATCAAACAATTTCTGTTACAAAAAATAAACCCATCAGGTACCTGGGAGTTTACTATGACAATAAAGGCAGCAGTAAACCCACTTTTGAAAAAATAGTAGAAAAAATCAAAATATTTACCAACATCATAAAATATAAAAAATTAACATACAAACAGCTATTTAAAGTATATAATACAACACTCAAATCATCAATTGAATACCTAATACAAATTATTACACTCAACAACAAAGAGATATCAACAATAAATAACCTTATAAGGAAAATTTTCAAATCAAAACTCAACTTCCCAAAAAACATACACAATGACACTATACAAAATTTTATGTTTGAAAATGTACAACCAATTGAAGATATATTCCTCATAACCAATACAAGAATCTTGTATGACATTATACACTCTAACTTCTCTTTGCTCAAATCTTTAATAGACATACGTATAAAAGATTGGAAAAGAACTGGTTGGTTTCATAACATTGACATTGAAACATTCAGAAAATTCTTCAAAGACACCAAAAATAACATGGTTGCATCCATCATAACAGAATTAGCTAAAAATAACCTAATCATTAAGAACCCAAATAACTCATATCTAGGAACTGGAACACCCCAATTTTACTGACATACATAAGACAGTTGACTATAAGATCTTCACAAAAAACAAAAAGGCATTTAAACAACACAATATAATCTTCCTAGAACAGATTACCACACATGATAATAGAAATATATTACCATGGAATAAAATCTACATCAGAAAATTTGGAACTAATAAAGCACGAAAGGAACCTAAATGGTTTCAAAACATAACAACAAAATTCAACAGTCAAATAAAAAATAAACAAATAATTTTACCATACAATAATTCACTAATACAATACAACACTACCTTATTCACAATTAAAAACTTAGACAGAAGGAAAAATAACTGGGCTATTATTGCAAATGATGATAACTCAATTATGCTGATTAAATTAATTAACATCCAAAAAAACAATTATGAATTCAAGAAATTAAACATAATCAACATAACCAATAATGAAATCATAACAGAAGTAACAGAACTCACTAACAAGATTGAGAATTGCAAAATATATAAAACTGGTAAAATCAAAATCAACAAAAAAGACAACCAAATCATTTGGAAAATACCATATTTAGAGCTGGTTCACAGTATTCCAAATCAAACCAAATGGTTTGATATCTTTAAACCAATTCCATCAGAACTTAACAATACTATACAAATTGAACCATATGACATGGTACAAATTAAAACCACAATAAAAAATAATGATACACTATCAACAACATTAAACATTCAAAAAATGATTCAAAGAAATTTCACACATAAACCTATTGAATGCTTCTACATATCAAAACACCATAATCATAACAAAAATTCATCTAATATTTCATTTGCATGGCTTATACCAACAATCACACCAATGCCCTTTCATGGCAAAGCTTACAATTACTGTTCATCAAATAGAGCAGAAGCAGAATGCATCAAACACATATTAGTAACAACCCTGTCCAACCAACACATCATAATATATACAAAAAATGAAAATACAAAAAAAATAATCAAAAATCAAAAAATAAATCTTAAAACTCAAAACTACCACATATGGTCATCAATAATTAAAATAATAATAAGCAAAGAATTGAAAATTGAAATAAAAAAATTCAATACTAAGTTAGGTGAACAAAAGAAAATTTACAACATATTAAAATACAATGGAAAACAAAAACACAAAACTAATTGAAAATAATACCAATGAAACACAAAACCTACCTGCAATTCTATGGCATGATCATATAATATCAATATATCCAAGAACTTTTATCAAACAATTACTACTAATTAAACACACAATTAACTGGATAAAACAAAAAGGCATAATTGGCACTTTTAAAGAACCACTAACATGGAAATACTTCAAGCCAAAAGAATATAAAATTAACAATTGCCAAGAAAACCAAAGAATAGAACTTTTCACAATTAAAGCTATCACAAAAAATTTACCCACAATGAACATACTAAACAAACGACGCTCAGATATATACCTGACAAATATATGCACCAGATGCAAAATCAAAAAAGAAACAATCAAACACATACTCTTTTGCAGTAAAACACAACAAACATACAAAGCAAACTTTATCAACAACATAGATAAAATTATCAAACTACACTATTCTAACAAAACAACCCTAAACACAAAAACCAATTTAATAACACAATTAACTGATAACACTGATCTAAAGAAGCTAATCTTTTCACTCAGCATGAAGATAATTACACAAACTAATTACAAAAAAATCAAAAAAATATTCAATAACAAAACAAACAAAATTATCACACAATTAATTGAACAATTAAACCATGAGTTTTATAATGAATGGAAGGAAAGAAATAAAAAACTTATAGAATGGGAAAATAAAAGAAAAATCACAAAAATTGAAAAAAGAAAAAAAACCACAAACATAATAGGGATTGGATCAATTTCTACCACTAGTCACACTAACAACAATGACAACCTTGAAAATATTAAAAAAATCCAAGACCAAGCTATACACAATTGGTTCATTAAAGGTTGGTCCAGACACAAAACAATTGAATAACAAACATACATACAAATATGTATGTTTAACAATCCTCAACTTAAAGTAGTTACTCACCTACTAATAAAGCACGAATGTGCAATTTTTATTTAATAATATATAATAAAATTAAATTTAAAAGGTGGGGCAAAGATTGGTCACGATGTATATACATGTGGGTAAAGTTTTCATAACATGAGGGAATTATATATATATGTATTTAAAATATGTATAAAAATTAATTCTTAATAAATAAAACTAACAATCTTTTGCAAAAAAAAAAAAAAAAATAAAAAAAAAAATATGTAACTCAGAATAAAAAAAAATATACCGTTATAACTGTTGAATTATGAAGAAAATAGTATCATAGAAGAAAAAATTACTTATAGAAAATTTCGAAGTATATTATGTAAAAAAGGAACCCATTTTTTATTTTTTAGTCATGTTACACTTATGTTTGTACACTAGAAATTACATGTTCACCGATCCACATAATCAATCAGATAATCTGTATGCTGTATGACATTTTATGGGGCTGTGCATCAAAAATTATTCTTAGAATTTAATAAACACAATTCTGTATGATGAAGAACAACAAATATCTTGGTCACAATGGTAGGTTTGTAAATAAAAATTTTTTTTCTTTCTTCGTTCTTAACCTACAATCAACTATTTCAGAACTTGTCACTTACCTGAAGACCCATAAAGTCTGGTCCTATACCAAATTCTTAAATATACATCATGACATTATAATTAATTCAACATCAGCTTCTGATGAATTTACAGGCTCGAATGGTGCTTGGGCATGGCATTTTTCACTTGAAGCAAAAATGTGTTCAGGAAATAATGATGATATGGATAAAAGGGTAATACCTTACTATTTGCATAGAATAATAGTTAGCAATAGGGAGCTTCTGGTCAGCTCTCATCCTGACTAAAAGTATTAGCTCTTATCCTAGCCGAGTAATGGTGATGAGCACTCCTAGTCAGCTCTTATCCTGACTCAGGAGTACCAGTTCTCATCCTGTGCCTCACCATTGCGACTTGCTTTTAATTTTATAATGGGTGTTTCTTGTTTCAGTTCTCATCATTACAACTTGCTTTTGATTTTTATAATAGATAAGATCAGAGCTTGCAAACAATAAACTTCAGGACTATTGGGAAAATGTCATCTTTGAAAAGAAACAAATAAGATACACAGAATTTTATTATTAGAACTGTGAACCTCTATCAGCTATTTCTTACTTTTTACTGTTGTTTTAAAACAGGTATCAGTAAAGCATAAACATCTTACAGGAAGCTTGGATTTACTTTATGCATTGGAGGAGTTTAACATCCAACATATGCTCTCAAAAGGATTATCTGTTGATGATGTATTATACAAGCCAAGATCAAAACAACCCACACTCAAAAAGACTGATGACACATCACTCAAGAATTCTTTTACCAATGACGATTTTAGGACCCCTATTGGTTCTGAGGTTGGTGTCATAAATATAATGATTTTTTTATTCATTTTTGACTTAAAATTGACCAATTTGATCTATATTTACAAAGCATGATAGTAATGATTCTGATGAGAATGATGATTCCGATGAAAGTGATGAGGAGTGTGTGTTAAGACTAAATGTAGAAGAAATCGGATTTGACGAATACATTGATCAGGGTGATAAACATGTAAGTATTTTTTTTCTCACAATCAATTGCAATTATGATTTCTCTAAAAAATGACTGTTTTATAGTTCATTTTCAAAACAAAAGACATTTCATCATTATTTAAATCATACCAGTCCAAAGCATCAGCTCTTGCACAAAATTCTGGTTTGCTAGTAACAAAAAATTATCACAAACTATTGTAAGTAGGACTTCTAAATGGGATATTGATATTTTTAGTAAATTAACTTTATTAATAGAGGATGTTTACTTTTTGAAATTTTAGGAGTCTATCGCATATTCTTTACTAAAATCTGATAACTATTCAGAAAAACATTCTCTAGGGAAACACTTGAAGATTGAGAAAGAACATTAAATCAAATTTTATTGGAAAGGAAAAAGTGACAAGAGACATAAAATTAATCCTACAAGAGTATATTGAGGTTTGTTTTCTTCTATTATTTATATTGTCACCCTTTTGCAATATTCCCTTTGCTGATTACCTTGCTTTAGATTGCTCTTGATGATAATGATGGTGGGTTGTGCAAGCTTCGCAAAACAATTATGAACTCTTTCTCAAAACATTCAATTCAACAACAGAAAAAGAATTTTTCTGATGAACGCAGTTTCTATTTCAACACTTGTAAGTTTTGATCTCTTTTATTCAAACATCTTTATGAATTGTCTGTGGTAAATATTTTTTCTTAAATACTTTGCAGGTCTTACACAATTCCGTTGTGTTCATTGAAGGAAAAAATTAGTGAAGGAACTTTGGTGGCGAATTTAATAAGTCCTGTGTTGTGCATTTTTTTTTATGATGCTTGTATATATCTGACAATTTGGCCAAACACATCCAGTACCAGTGCAAAGGTCTGAAAGCTTGCTACTGGTGATCCTTCTTGGGCTAAACAACCTGATATGATTGGGAATATTGTCAATAATGGTATTTATAAAAAAAAAAAACAAAAAAAAACCAGTTTTCTAATTCTTTCTTTAACATCAATAGGAATGTTTGCTTATGAAGTGATGTTTGGAGAAGTAACAGGTGAGGGTAAGAACAACACGGAAAAGAAAAACCTAATTGATCTGATTAGGTTGGGATTATACATGAAGTCGAAATTAAAACCCTAAAGTCGAAATGCTTTGATTTGAGGCAACTACATAGTAAAAATCAGTTTCGACCTTATTTCAACCCTATTTTGACCAGATCTGCAAATGGTCAAAATAGTTTCAACTTCATGTATAGTTGGGATTATTTATGAAGGACTTGCTAGATATTATTCTACAAAAAACTGATATTAATTGTGTTTTGCTTGGCAAGTCATTGGTAAGCTGGTCTTCAAGAAAATTTGTCTTAATTAATCTTGTTCTATCTAATTAATAACTCTATGTAATAAATAGTGACAAAGTGGACTGGTTATTTAATGATCTTAATTTCTCCTGGAGTTTATCTTATGGTAGATGACATCAGGAAATTTTTTCTGATGTGGATTTACATAATCATTACACTATTTACATAAGTTTACAGTGGGCCTATAATATTATGCAAATAAGCATACAAAAATTATGCAATTATTATATTGAGTGTAAATATTACATAATTTTTTATGGATGTAATATTGCGGCAGGGAAAATTTCCTGATGATACTGTGATAGTGTAGAACTGCCAAGGTCTTTTGAAACATGCTGTATGTTTTTAAATGGGTTAAACACACTGCATGCATTCAAGGTATAACTACTAAAAAATATTTAATATTACTTGTCAATTCTGTATAAACTGACTAATTCAAAACTGCTCCTCTAGCTGGCATATGAACAAACAGTGAATGAGACCCTTTTGGCAATAAATAAGAATGAAGAAGGCTCCAAGAATAATAAGTTCAAAACATGGCATCGATCAACACTTGGGACACCAGTGTTCAAAAGGATCTTCAAATTCAAATGATTTTTATAAGATATTGCTTTATTAATATATGAAGTGTCACAATCAAACATCAATAAAAATTATAGAATATATAATATCTACATCAACTAATTTGCAGTACCAAATCATCTGCAATTATTTTTTCTTAATATTAATAAAGCATTTATTAGTTCACCCACATTGAGCTTTGGATTTTTAACAATATGTATGATGTGTATTAGTATGTGAGTGTGGTATCAGAAAAATAAAATATCGCCACACATGTAAAAATTATGAGTCATAAACATTATTCTTTTTTCTCTGTTATTATGATGCACTAAGTGAAAAAGTGAAGCTTCACCTAATCTAATGCCTCTGCCAAAACGGGCACCATAATTTCATCTATCACATATGTCATCTTCATAATTATCTGCACCTCATTACATGATTGTGCCTCATCATCTGGCCCATTTTCGGTATGACTAGACTTGGGCTCATCATCTATTAATCCTAGAAGCATTATAAGTACAGATAACTCATAGTTATTTATCCAAGTTATGAAATAACTTTTTGCATTTATAAAAGCTACATTTTCCAAACCGTCATTTTTATCTACAAGAAAAACACTCGCAATATCTTCATTTAACACTTCAATCTCTACTTGGATGTTCTCGTGATTAGTATCAAAGTCTTTTGTTTCTCCTTTCACATATAAAAATTTTTTTTCAGACATCATGACTGCTAAGAAAAACAAAACTATTAATTAATACATGAAGTAGTAACTATATTTCTGACTCAAAAATTTATTCATAATGTGTACCTTAAAAAAATTCAATAAGATAAGAAATGATGCCTCACAAATCTGGTTTATTATATTCATTTGCTTGACCTGCATCTGGAAAATATAAAAAAATTTTACACGTGTCAATTGTAAGTTTAATAATAAAAAAGTGTAAAACTTACATCGGCACTGTAAGATTTACACAATATTACGTCGGCATCATAAGATTTATGCAAGTTTATGCTAAATTAATTTCCTGATGGACTTATCGAGTTTATCTATGTACTATGTAATTAAAAATTTCCCATTGTAATAGATTTTCTCCAATTAAGGAAATTTTCAGTCCGACTTTATAATCTTGAGTAACTTTTGTAACTTTTGATTAGTAAACATGTTGTGCGTTATATGTGAATTTGCAATTCATGTACGTGAAATTCAAATTAGCCAATCAGAATTTCATATCCAAACACCCCACCCCAAAATTCCAATTATAAATTTCGATTTCACATATATACAACATAAAAATTTGTTATTTTTCACAGTAGAATTTTATAGTAAATTCAATTTCTAGATAGAAAAAAGAAACCAAACGAATTTAATTAATTATTATTACCACACAACTCTCGTTTATTCATTCAAATCTTTCAGCAATACCGCACAACCATCTGTTCCGATTATTTGATTATATTTTCAATATGTTGATGACAGTTTTACTAGAATTCTTGGAATTTATACCAACATTGATATTTAAACTTGGATTAATAATCTAAAGAAAATTGGTACTATCATTATTATAATTGTTAGTAATATTTTGTAACAATTATTTAATTGTTAGTGGATTAGGTGATTGTAATAGAAGTATAATAATAATATTTAATATTTATAATAATTAATTATCACCATCTTTTTTCAATAATAATGTCATTTTTATTTTATTTTATTTACTTCTTAATTAGAGGAGTGTGCGTGGAAGAGGAGGAAAGAAGAAAAGATGTTCGGTAAGATGATATAATGATAACAATAAGTAATAGTAATATACTCAAAATCAAAATTATTATTATTATTATTATTATTATTATTATTATTTATTAATTAATTAATTATTAAAACAAATTAGTTTGTAATAAATTTTTTTTAATTTAAACTTTTATAACAGTGATAAAATATAAAATAAATGTCATATGCATTCATAGCCATACTCAAAATTATTTAAGTAACGAATACAGTCCATCGTAGTCTTTACTAATACAGGCGCACTTCAAAGTTACTAGTATAATCAACTACATTTAAGGTGGTTGCACCTGACTCAAAAGATCTTTTGCATATTTTACAGCTTCTAATGCATGTTTTATACAGTTTTCTATCAATTTTTAGTTTATACCACAAGGAAAGCATGTATTTAATGTAAAGGTGAATGTGATAACATTGTTTAATATCATTTTTTGCTGCACATGCAAGTCTATCGAGCATCTATTACTATTATTCAATCTAAAAGACACTGGGAAAAGTGAATTAAGAAATATTAGGAAAAAAGAACCAAGAAATTGCAATTTAGTAATCTAGATGATAAATTATTGAAAGTAAAGAGAAACAATTAAAAACAAGCCAAGAAAAAAGAACTAGAAATATCAGCAACAAGTCAAAATATCAAGAATTTAACCAGCAGTCGTAAGGTTATTATTTTAAAGCGACTAGGTGGTGTATAAAAAACATAATACGTAATACGTAATACGTAATACGTAATACGTAATTACGAAATTAATTACGCGACGAGTGACAAAATTAATTAAATTAATTACGAGTGACGAAATTATTCATTGCAGAAGAAATTAATTATGGGTGATGTAAAATCCATAAATTCTACATTCTATATTTTATATTTAAAAAAATAAAATATACTTTTTGCACTTTATAAAGTACTACTAACATAGAATTTTAAATTTTTTCAATTTTTGTTAAACCATAAATAATATTTTGTCCTTGAAGTAAAAAAATTCATTTTAATGAAAGGTATTGTCTTCATGAAAGATTTTACTTAAATAACATGTTTTTTACAAACAGGCACTTTAATTATTGTAAAAATATAAATTGTTATTTTATTATCCTAAAATGTTCTTTAAATATAAAAAAATTACATATTGATTGATATTGTGAGGACGAAAAGCGGTCAGGTTACAAGGAAACAATAAAATTGGCCGAACTTTCTGATAGTACATTTTATTTTAATTGATCTAAAAAATCATTACAAAAATAAGTCACTTTTGACTAAGTGAAAAAAAAAATCAGGTTAACTAATTAATATTTCAGAGCCTTGCTAATAAGTAGAGGCAGAAATATTTATTTATTATTTTAATGTAATTCACTTGTAAAAATAATTTCACACATAAATAATAAATAAATAAATTCTTAGTTTCGCTTATAAAAACATTTTGTGGTCGGAAATTAAACAGTAGGGTTTAAATTGTCCGTTTGGTTATCAAAGTGGTATATATAGAACTCCGAGGTTTTGTTTATTTGCTTTGGTATAAAGCAAAGGTTCTAACGTTGGTTAACCAGTGTAGTGTTAATAACGGGTTCTATAGGAAATTTTTGATTTCTTTGATATTTATTCATTGTTAATCGTAATTATTTTTGTTAACCCTCATCATCCGCAATTAGTTTCGTCGCCAATAATTAGTTTCGTCGCACGCGATTAATTTCGTAATTACGTTTTTAAAAGGAAAAGTGGTAATTAATTACGATAATTACATATTAACATTGTATATAGTGCAAGTCACCTAAAGACATCACGTGCTGCGCCACTCGCCAAAAATATAAAATAAATCCAAATTTGTAAGAGATCTGCCACTTTGTCACGTGAGCAAGTTGTAGATTCTCTTAATATTCCTCTAGAGTTGCAACAGCTTGGTCACAGAGCCAGCCTTAGAGGTAGAATTGT